AATGCTTTGGGGCTGGGGATTTAGCTCAGCGGCAAAGTGCCTGCTTGGCAAGCACAAGGTCATGAGTTCGGTTCCCGGTACCGGAGAAAAACAAAAAAACAAAAAACAAAACAAAACAAAAAAAGATTAAATGCTTCTTGAAACTTGTCTCTCCTGTTTTAATATATTAATTAGAATTATAGAAGGCTAAAAATAAAGTTTTTGATTTCAAATTTTAAGAACTTTGTGTTCTGTGTTGCAAGTTGTAGGGCTTGGGCAGTCTGTTGTTTTTTTTTTTTTTGGTTTTTCTCCGGTACCGGGAACCGAACTCACGACCTTGCGCTTGCCAGGCAGGCGCTTTGCCGCTGAGCTAAATCCCCAGCCCCAGTCTGTTGTTTTGATGTGAGAAATCCCCCAAAGGGAATTGTTTACGGTGATATTACTTTAAAGGACTAAACTGCTACTCACTTTGAATAGTCTAATATTTTTCTATGCAGTAGAAGAACTGTATTTCATCTGATTTGGGGTATTCTAAGAGAAATGTTTTGTTCCTTCCTTAAACATTTAAGGGAACATTTTCCCTTTCCTCTTGGTGAGATTTCACTTTTATGGGAGTAGCTGTTGACAGCAGACCAGGCTCAGGAGCAAAAGCTGGAAGGGATTTCTGGAGAGACTTGGTGAGACCTTGTGGTGGGTAGTATTTCTCAAGGCCCCCTGGTCATACTTTGAGAAAGAGACAACTCTGTAGGCACAGATCCTGGAAGGGACTGATACTACTAGGAGCAAAATTTGGGCAGACTAGGTACAGAACCCTAGGCCCACTGGTGGTAGACTTGATTCCTACAGGAAGTACTGGCAGCCTGGCAGAACTCAAATAAACTTGAGAAATCACACCTGGGTTCCATAAAAAATGGCCAAAGTTCTATTGACTGTAGATAAGCACTTCCTGGCAAGAGGTGTTTATAATTTCAGCACCAATATTTATGTGACCTCAGTGGCATCCATACACTATAAAATCTAGGCTACACCAGTTTCTTCCATATGTCATTACCTTGTTAAAGTCAGTAGATAAATGGTGGCCTGACTTTAAATTCTAGAAAACAAAACACTATGACATCAAAGATAATGTAATGACTTAATATGTAGAGCAATGTGAACATTTCATAAGATTGACCTATCCTATCTGGTCACAGCTAATGTAGTGTGATTATCACATAAATCTCTTTCCAAAGAAGTCACCTTGCCAAGTATTCTTTGTCTTAGTTGTTGGATGGCTTTTCTATAAAAGGGACCAATGAATGTATTAGTTAGTTTGTAATCCATTATTTCATGGAAAGGACCTGCCTTTCAAAGCAGTAAGACCTCCTAAAATTAGTTGGGTTGAATTTTCTGCATTTTTCTCAAGATTTGTTTTGAAACAAAAACATTTGTTATTATGAATTTTAGTATGAATAAAACATGTTAGAAATGAGCAGCCTTTAAACCATTCTTCCATTTGCTTTTATACATTACTAAGTATTATGGCTTCATTAATAACTATTATGGTTTTACTAATAGTCAAAAATATCAAAATAGTAAACTGTTAGCACTGCAATGCATACATTTCCAAATGTATACATAAAAGTTCTTCTGAGTGTAAGAAGATCAAAGCCAGGAATTAGATTTTCCTAGAAATTGTTTCAATAGTAATTTCAGGCAAAAAGGAGAGGTACCTTGATTTTTCTCTCACTGAGAAGAAAGTGAAAGAAAATAAACTTCATGTAAGGATTTACAATTTTATAAAGGGTTGTGAATACCTTGAGAAAGCATTATATATTTGACTAGTTTTTTGAGTGATCAAATTTTTATCTGGGCCCAAAATATTTCTATTGAGTACATTATTATATGTTAGAGATGTTTATTTCTTACAACAGAAAATTCCAGTATCATCTTTAATATTATGAACAGGTTTGGCTTAAAACTCTGGCATACTAGAACATCCAGTATGATTTGTGGCATAGATGTTAAGAAATTTCATACAAACAATCTTAAGACAAATATATATAGTTATTTTCCACAGGGATTTTTTTGGTCAATCATTATTACCCCCCCTTTTTTTTGTAACCACTTTTGGAACTCTTTGTAATGAGGGAAACAAGGAAGTAGATGTCATTTAGCTTGAGTTCTGTTAAAGCAGATCATCAAAACAATGGCTATGTGGTTTATTCGAGAGCAGAACACAAGAAGCACAGGGGGAATATGGGGAAAGTAATATAGGAAAAGGAGAAAATCTTAGTGTGTGTGTGTGTGTGTGTGTGCACGTGTGTGAATGCATGCATGTGTGTGTGTGTTAATGGGGGCAGCAACTAAGTCTAAGTGGGCTAGAGAAATCTCCACAAAGCCATGCAGGAATCTTCAGAAATCTCCAGTGAAAGACAGGGAGACCAGATGCTTATCCTTTAATCCAAGTTCCCTTTGTCTGAGAGCTGCTCACGAGTCTGTCAACTCCTTTGCCCTTCTGTGTTGCACCAGTGTCCTCACTCATGTGGATGAGTATCACTATTGGATGGCACAGCGACAGTTCCAGTGGGACACATTTGTATCAGGAGTAAGACTATGGAGTGCTTTGTACTCTGTCATATTCTAACTCTGGCGTGTTAGCTGATGCAAATGCAGTGGCACAGTGTCAGGCCTCTTGCAAAGAACAGAGCTGATGTCTTAAAATACAAGCATGGTTTCTGTGGAAGGGACTGAAAATAGCAGTAGCTTGTACAAGACAGATTTTTTCTACTCACATACACAACTGAAGCTCATGAGCTAAACAGTCAAAGGTCCAGGTGCTCTCCAGGGTGTCCTTCTGCTATCCTGACAGTTTACCCTGTTCACATGGACTAAGATGGCTACAACTTGTCCACACTGAGGTGTCAGAAAGTGAGGAAAAGGAAGAGGAGTGCACATATGTTCCCTTGAAGGTCATAACTCAGAAATTACTAATGTAATTTTCCCTTTCTGCCACTGGCTGGAACTTAGCCCCGAGTCCATAGAAGTTTTAGAAGGATTACCCTTTTGGGCTATCACTTGCCCATCCAAAAATTATTTTGCCAGGGAGAAGTGGGCAGTGGACACTAGAGTACAAACAACAACTTCTGTCCTGACCCCAACTTGATTATGTGCATCTTCTGGGGAAGATGTGCTTGCACTATGGTAGTTTCAAAAGGGAATCTTTGAGTTATATACAATTATAGTTTAATACTCTTTAATACCTTTGTGAAAGCTTTAAAAATTTACTGCATGTTTGCGTATGTATCTCTGTGTCTATTTCGTTGTGTTTATATTTATAAAATTATACAGTTATTTTCACTCTGTTAAGATAATTTATGGTTGGGGCAATAATCTTAAGTGATTATAGGAACTTAAATATATATATATATATATATATATATATATATATATATACACACACACACACACACACACACACACATATTCTTAAAAGTTATCTGCTATAGCCAGCTGATTCTATCCTATATTCCATTGTCTTTGGTGAATGCTGTCTGTCTCTCTCTGCTTCTCTCTCTCTTTCTCTGTCTCTCTCAACACACACACACACACACACACACACACACACACACACAAACACCGCTTTTTAAATTTTTTGTTTTTATTTTTTGTGGTACTGGAGATTTAACGCTGGGCCTTGTGCATGTCAGGTAAGTACTCTACCACTGAGATATACCCCTGGCCCTACACATACCTTTCTGGATGCTTTCTTGCTTATTGACTGCTTGACTAATAATTATCAAGCAAAATAATAGTATTCTTAATACTTTTTTCCTTTGTATAAACTTTGTTTTGTTGAAAGTATAAAAATTAGAATTTTTGCTGTCTACCTTGGTACATTCAGACAAAGCCAAACTTCTCTTTTTGCTTGCTTTTTTATTTCTTCTCCCTTGTTTATATCCTCCCAAAACGAGGGGAATCTTTACCTTATCGGTTAGGAGTGGGGTATTCTTCCATACATTCAGTGAAAGCCCAAATATGTCTCCTTTCCAATCTTGAAAAAATTTTCTACATTTGTAATTTTAAATCAGTGGAACTGGACATTAGGAAACCACTGATGATGGAAAGAGAAATAGCTTCATCTCCTGAAGGCTAGGAGATGCAGCTGTACACACATCTATAGATAAGTATGTGTATGTGATTAAGTTTACTGTAATTCTTAATACTGTGATAGCGGTTTTGTTTAAAATTCTTAGAATAACAAAGCTGTGGATAAAGATGGGCCATGGGCAAAATTTTCAAGCATGACTTTGGCGACCTTGGTGTAGACTCCGTACTAGTTGTCTTTCAGATCAGAATAAGGACCATAAGGACTCAGGTTTCTGGACACCTCCGCACTTACCCGTTGGAGAGGATGGGGTATAACTTCCATGGAATCACTATGGTCTTAACTACAGCAGAGTGGCCCAGCAGCACCAGAGCAGCTGTAGAGGCAGTGGGCCCCTGTGGAGAGTGAACAGCAGAGAGCATTTGCCTTGTCTAGGGAAAGTGAGAGCTGTGTGCCGTGTAGAGCTACAAACATTCTAGCACAGATCAGTTGGCCTTGGTGAAGTAGCAAGATGAGCTTTTCAAGAAAGTGTATTGTTTATTACAAGGTAGGAAGCTTCACCACACCTAATGTCAGTTAAGGATATGAAATTTCTAAAGAGCTAAAAGAGGACCAAATACTACTTTTACTTAGAGTTTCTCTTTTGACCCATCCAATATGTCTTTTAAACATTATTTTTATAATTATTATTCCTATTTTATGAATGAGAAATCTGAGAGCTACAGAGTTAAATGACTGATGAATCCCCCATCAGTAAGTTCAGAGGAAGCGCTTGGCTCTTTTCTGGATTGTGTTTCATCTGTGGAATCCAGGACAGATGCAGGTGGGCACACAGTAGCACAGGTTATAATAACAGGAGAGGTAGAAGGGGTCAACCACCTGTTCTCAGGCATTGTTCTTGATTTCTCCTTCTGATTCTTATTTGCACCCACAGCTTCGTTACTCGTCATACCTAAAGCTGCAGACAGGAAATGCTTCCAGCTGGCTTCCCTGGCGTTGCCCCCTGCTTCAGGTCGACCAGAATTCCAAGTCCTAGCATCCCGGCTGGTGTACTTCCCAAGGAACCCCAGCCTGCAGAAGTCTGCTTGCCCCTCAGTTCCTCTACAGATAACGAAGCAGCCATGTGGGGCCTTGTGAGCAAGGTGTTGGGCACTGGGTAAGGCTATTTTCATGCTTTGCTATATTTGACCCTGTGGCACCCCTGGGGATACTGGTTGTAACAACACTCTGTTTACAGTTCTGAGACCCAGAGCTGGGAGAGGTTCAGTCATTGGCCAAGGTCACAGGGTTCTTTGTTAGCAGGGCCAGGATGCAGGCCACATCAGCCAGTCTCCACAGCCCCAATGCTGACTCTTCGTGTGTCTTCGTGCCTAGCAGTGCTTGATCATCTGGATATGCCTCTTACTCTGACCCAATGACTGGCATTTGCTTCCTATACGGGAACACCGTGAGTATCCCAGAGATACTCACACTCCTTGCCTGTAACTTCTGTTGCCACTAAACAAAAAGAGAAGTTTCCTTCTACGATCGAGTCCTTCTTTCTTTCTTTCTTTTGACAGGGGGAGGATACCGGGAATCAAACTCACCATCTTGTGCTTGCCAGGCAGGCGCTGTGCTGCTGCGCTATGTCCCCAGCCCTGAGCCCTTATTTCTTAGTGCTATTTCCCTAACTAAGATGTTCACAGGACCAACTTCAGGGTTTCTATTCGTAATTCCTTGTTTCTCTTTTCCCTTTCCTCTGTCACCCGTTCACTTTCCATTGACATTTACTCTGAAACCTCTTTTCAAGAGAGTGGAACTCCAAGCAGATATTAACTTATTGACGTATCTTTCACAAGTAAATCTTTATAATATTCTTACCCTTTTAAAAGAGTACCCAAAAGAATTTCACGTAAAATGCAATACTACAATTCTGAAGGCAGAAGTATTCCTCAAATAGTTGAATGACCTCTATCAAATTGTAGTTGAAGCACTAATCAAGATTTTTTTCATTTCAGCAACAAGTTGATTGATTTTCTTGATTTCTTTTCTCTGTTCGAGAGCTTTCTACACTTCTTGTCTGTGACTGATCATATCTTAATTATACAAAGATTATTAAATTATAGTTGTTAAATTATAGTTGTAGGTGGATGGGTAAAAATGATTCACAAAACCATATTTTTTTGTACATGAAACTCAAATCTGTTGGTTAATCGTTAAGGCCAGTGTGTATACATGTTCGTGAGAAAATTTACATATGTGATTTTATGTACACATTATATAAAATTATTTAAATTATATAATAATAAGAAGTGCATGAAATTACCTGCAAATGTTAATACATCCATATAGGGTATATGTAAAGTCATATATATATACATATGTTAAGTATATTACATATAATTATGAATTTATGAGTTTTCTATGTATTACTAAACATATTTAAATAAATCCTGGATTACACTTGGAGTCTAGAAGCATTGGGGCCTCTTCCAAGAGCCTGTTCATCTACTGAAGGTAAATGTGTGTTATTTCTTTTCTCCCGGACACTGCCTGGAAAATTCTCCATGGCTAAGCTGAGGGCAGAGTTAGGAGGGGGTGGGGCAGACTCAGGGAGTGGGGTCTGAGTGCAGTCCTATGGTATTTAATGTCTCCCCAGTGGGAAGCTGGGGCAAAGTTCACATAATCTGGATCACTTTCACCTGATCAGGGAGGGCTATGGCTTGATCTGAGCTTCCAAGCTTCAGTGTGCATTCAGATAGACCTCATGTCTATATAGACTGTTTTAGGGAATGAAGAACCCACAACTTCCTAGTTAAGTGTCAACTCAGTTGGTAATATGGAGCTAGTTAGTGGCAGAAGCAGAACTAGAACTTAGCTTTTCCATTTCCTAGTTTATTTGGTTTCCTATTATATCTTGCTTTGTTTTTCCTTTTGCCAACCAAAGTGGGAAGGTACACTGATGGTAAGCCCATTGGTGGTACTGTGTACTTTTAGCTTATGTTTATGCTACCTTATTTTGCATAAGTAAGTATGGAGCATAAATGAATTCTTTTTCTCTTAGATGCAGTAGCTTGACAGTTCTGCTCTGGACTCTTTCAGCCTCGTGTCGTTTTGCACAGTTGACCTATGAGGTCATTTCTCCTTCTTGCCCTCCCCTCTCCAGTAAATTGGGTTTATAATAGAAACACTAACTCAATGTTAACTAAAGCGATACTGTCAAGGGATGTGATAAGACTGCTGGGTGATGTTTTATGGTAATAGATTCTCTTGGGCTTCCTTTCCAAGATCATGAGATGAAGCGTCACCCCCTTAGAGGGCAAATAGAAAGTGTGGAAACCATAGCAGAAGGAAATCTAGGGCAGGTTATATCTCCATGGTATCATCATTCCCAGCCTGATTGAAACATACAAATTGATATTTTGCTAAAATAATGTGAACAAGGTTTTTTTTTTCAAAAAAGAATTTCTAGGTAGTGGGAGGGGATCTATAATATGAATCATTATATTGCCTCGCACACAAATGGTGTGCAAGGAACTTCCCATGGTGTTGTTTGGGGTAGTTCCAGTGGTTACATTCATAAGAACCTCTTCATTGAAACTACTTAGAAGTACAGTTATATAAGTCCTTTCCTTGGCAAAGACAGACAAAAAACTTTAAAGGAAAACAAAAATCAAAGCACAGAGATTATGAAGAAATATAAAGAGTATCAGAACTATGGAGAAAGTATCAGAAAATGTTTGCTTCTGTCTTAGTAACTTTCAGTATCTGTGGTGTGATATAATTCAATAAGTTTCTTGCTTCAGGCTAAGATCTTTCTAAATATATCCCTTATGTCAGGCGTCATCTTATAATTGGGTTATAAAACAATATCTGTATTATATGTTACAGGGCAAAAACCTCAGTTATTTAGTCTGGGAAAGGAAAATAATGACTGCATTTCTGTCACTGATATTTTAGGAGGAGCAAATGGGATAATTTTAAGTATTTAGCATATTTCCTGACATATAATAAATGCTCATTAAATGTGATCTCTAATTATTACCATGTGACTTGATAGATAAAAAACTGGGCTTCTCAAAACTCAGTCATCTCTCAAAACAATGCAGGAAAAGAGAGGATTTCAAATTCTGTGCTTCTCTGCAGCCAGCCCACTATCTGTTGGCTTTTGGTCCAAAGGACACATTTCTTTCTTACTATTCTGGTGATGCGATGAGTGATTCCTCTCATCAGCTGAAGGCCCTCCTTTCTTGAAATGGTGACATTGGAACTTGTACTTGGCACATTTGCTGGTGTGCTTGCTTAAGAAGCCAAAGCCAGAGGAATCATGCAAAAACCAAATAAAAGCATAACAAACTGCATAATTTTGATAAACAAAGGATTCATCCTCCTGCCTCTATGTGTCAGGAGGACTTGTCTCTAACACATAGGGTAATCCTTTACTTTAAAAATTACATATCCATGCTGGAGATATAACTCAATGAAAGTGTGTTTGCCTAGCATGCCCAAGGCCCTAGGTTCAATCCCGAGGACTCACTGATTAATTGATTAGTTAACCAATTAATTTTCAAGTTGTGGGCTGTACCTTAGTATTCATACTATGGTGTTTGGCATAAAGAAACATTTAAAATCCTTGAGAAAAATCCTAAGAATAACAGAAAACCGCTTGAGCTATTAACCTATGAAGCACAAGGGGGGAAGAAAATAAATATTACATGGTTGAGTCTTTAAATTATAATTCTGGAGTTGCTAGACATTGACCCAAATAACCTTACACATTTTTACAGGTGCAAATATTGAAGACCCAGAAGACACTGGACAGAAACTCAAGTTGCATGTCTTTGTAACTTTGCAGAATTTCGGTGGACCTCAGGGCTATGACCCCCAGCACTGATGTATAGATGTCAAGTTTTTGGGTCTTTAACTGTGTTAATCAGGTATATTTGCTGAGGGAGGGTTCCTGAGAATTGTTTTTGCCTAATCTTATAGATATGTTGCTGAAGACAAGGAGGGAATATTTCAATTTCTCTTCTTTTGGTTATTTTTGTGGCAAGGGAAGAAGAGGTGTCCCTGTAGGAGATAGCTCCATTTAAAGCACACAACAGTGAGATCCGCAAAGGTCTAAAGTGTGGTAAGTGCAATCATTTTATCCCTTCTTGGGTCAGGGAACATTCTCTTTGCTCACAAGGGTCAGATGATTGTGTTAAAGAGGACAGATGGTTGGATTTTTCCCATTGAGCAGATTGCTCAATCTACAAAAAGCTTGCACCTGGTTGCCCTCCTGCCTGGTTATCTGGAAGCCTCCCAGAAGGTCTGGTCACTCCTTTTGCCCAAGGATAGAAGTACACATGTTGTTCAGTCTGGAAAAAGACATGGATACGTCCAATGGATTTGCATCTTGATATATAATATTGCCTAGCAGCTGTGGACCTCTGTACAGAGTAAGGATGACAAATACTTTTTCAAGTTCTCAAAGAAAATGTGACCCTGCCCTATTCACGCTTAAGTGGATTGGATTAGAACTATTTATTTTTTCCTGCATGGATTCTTTAGAAAGTAATATAATTACAATAGGACTTTTGCTTCCCTAGGAAAGAAATGAATTGTTAACAAAATTCACTTTCACCCACCAGTTTATTTGGAACCATGCTCCTAGGACTTGAATGTGTAGAATTCTCTATCTCAGCTGCTTGTGAAAGCCTCACAAAAGGACAGAGAGTCTTACAAGAATTAGTGATGGAAAAAAGGAGACAGAGGTAAGAATCCAGATTGAGTAGTCTCACAGTTATATGCCTCTTACTGCAATAGAGCAAGGATGTCTAGGATGGGGCCCCAAAGTTTGAGGTCTGTGATATGACAAATTCCCCCAATATAAAATGAGACTGGCACCATGCCTCTGGGCTGTGTGGGAATGTAGTTTAATTAGAATGCCACAGTAGTATGGTGCTTTGGAGGGGACAGCATGCAGGCCTAAAGAGCCACAGTGATGTGGGATAGCACAGTGTCTGAGGAAGGGACTAGGGGAGGAGGAACTGTGGAACAGATCAGGGATTCTGGGGCCCATGCCATCTTGGTGCTGCAGATGAGAGGCCTTATTGTGGTTAAAGTTGTCTGGCATGTAATCGCCAGGATGGAGTGCTAAGCAAGCAGCCGCAGAGTCAGAGAATCTGACCTTGGGAAGATAATGAGACAAGGAGAATTCAGAACAGATGAAAGCCAAGAGCACCTACTTTATCTACTGACAGCCAGAGAACACCTTCATGCTCAATCAGTTCCTGCTAATGAGACAAGATGGGGCAAGATGGTAAAACAGCAGTAACAGGCAAACTTTTTTTTCTTCAGCTTAATGATCTATAACTTAGTTAGACAAAATTGTCTTTTAGGTCAGGCAGCCACGTAAGTCTGAGCACAAAAATCAGAAAAAGCAACACCTGAATCATTTAGTTTAGTTGCGTTTACTTTGAGAGGGCAGCGATGAGGTTGAGGAAAGTAATGAAATCGGGAGTGGTGCGGTCGAAGGGATCCCTGCATGCTTAGAACATGCTACCTCCAAATGCAGGCTACTGGGTAGACAGTACTTTAATACGGCTGTTCTATGACCAGTGAGTTCCTTCGCTGGATATTTTAACACCCAACAGGGACTTTAACATGTGCCTGACACTTTCAATTCATCAGTGATTTAGTCTTCTTGGTGCTTCGAGTTATTACATGCCTCCTGGAGATGACGCTGCCACTTCCACAAAGAACTGAAGTTTTTGGAGCCCTCCTACTCCTTTTGCAGTTATAGAAATGGTGCCCAAATCATGGGAGAAATACTATTCCCTGAGTGGCACTGTGTTAGGTGCTATGTATGCATAGTCTCATTTAATGCTTCCTCGAGCCGATGTGGCAGTACTTACTTAGCTCACAGATGAGAAAACTGAGAGCTCACAGGAATTATGGAAGCTCAGCAGAGTTTGATTGCTAATAAATCATCATTTATCTTTTTATTACCAGAGTGCCCCACTTTTCCACTGTGTACTGTAGCCAGTTTTTTCAAGATGGATAAGGGGAAAGGTGAAAGATATAGTCCAGAAAACAAAATCAGTGTCTTTAAATATATGAAGCCTGTTTTTGAATGAACTTGCAATTAAAATACGTAATAATTTTTAAATAACGTGATGAGATTAGAGCATCATCATAGCATATGACAATGGCACTCACATGGCACAGAAGGGGGTTAGTGGCTCTTGAGCAGCTGAAGACGGTGTCCCTGCCTGATGCTACTGGAGACCACAGGAGAGTTCTGTTATGCTCTAAAGAGAGGGTAGGCTGTGCCAGTCTTTATTTTCCCTACTTGCTCCGCACCTCCCCAACCTGAGCCCCGTGCACACACATGCCCCAGTGGAATCACAGGCCAGCAGAAGGCTGCTCTTGGGAATGATGGATGAAGAATCTCTGGACTTTAAGGGAAATTTGGAAATAGAGCTCTCTTCTGTGGATTCTCCTTTAAAACATGAGCCGTGTCTCACCTCTGCCAACCTCCAAGCAACTGAGTCATTACTTCATGCTAATAAAATATAATATGAGGAAATTATTCCAAAAGCAGGTGAGTGGACTCGTTCCTAGACTGTCTCGTGCTGACACTGCTCAGGTGTATTGGAAAGTCAGCTTTGTAACAAGATGACACCATTACACTGCTTTGGGGACTATGCTCATGTTACGTGTGCTTCTCCATTTGCTTACAGAACCGGCCCAGGCAGCTCTGCACTGGGGTGCAAAGGAGGCAAGCTTAATGGCAGGGATGGGCCAGCAGAGGGAAATCATTTCTTCACTCTTTTATTTGGCATTCCAAGTTTAAAAATGATTTTCTTCCTGTAGGAAAATTTCCATGTCCATGTTTCCATGAAAATAATCACCCTTTTTTTCTATACCAGATTACTCATTCTCAGATATTTACATCCATCTCCCCTTCTTTAAAATAAAATGGATTTCGTTGTACAAAATCCACATTCACTGTAGAAAGAAATAGAAAATACAAGCAACAAGAAAATAAACTTCTGGTGATAATTATTATTCAATTTTGTCATATGTAAGTGAAGGAAAGGGCCAGGCAGTTATGGGGAAACAAAAATGTTCAAAATATGTTATATGCAAGTACAAATATGCCAAAAGTGAACCTCATTATTCTGTATAAACTATATCCATTGATAATAATAAAGTTACAGTCCTTCATTCCAATTTAACTCATGTGTGTATACTTTGCTCACAGGCAGAAACAAAAAGCAACAATAGTACAAAGTTATCTTATGAAAACTTTTTCCATATATATGTATAAAAAAGTCATACATGTGTATATATATATATCAATATATATATATTTTCATGAAGATGCTAAACTTTTATATGATGTTACATAGTATATAAGTACCATATTTTGTTTAATCAATTGTTGAAGTTTTCAGGCTGTTTCTAAATTTCTAACATTTTCAGTAAGTTAGAATTTGTGTTTTTGTACAGCTTTTTTTCATACTTCTTCAATGAATTCTTAGAATGAATGTTCTTAAATGACTTTTGAGGTACAAAGGGTACAAGTTTTAAAAGTGATTTTCCTTTCTTTTGGAAAATTAGAGCAATAGTTTTCATTATTGCTTTAATTTGCCAGTCTTAGCAAGTTCTCCCCACGCAGCCAGTGCCCGTAGCAGCAGTTCCCCCTCTTTTGCTTGGGGGTGATAGTCTTGGTAGACTTCATGAAGTCCAGGCTAGGAGCTCCCTAGAGAACTAGACTCTGCGTGACAAACGTGCCATGGTTGCTCCCCCACCCACTGCACATAGCACCTGAGGACACAGAGGTACAGGGATAGTGAGCAGAGGAAGTGAGACGTGAGACAGGGACTAAGTCCTACAAAGGGTAAGCAAAACAAAACTTCAGTTGAGTTGCCGTCCATGTTTAGGCAATTTATGTTCTTAACCAGTGAGGAAGCTTGAAAAGAGGAAAACTATGGAAATTGACAAAGCCATAGAAAATATTTGAAGGTGTGGAAACTTGCTAAGAGTTTTGGAATGGAAAATCCCTCTTCTTAATTTTAAAGAAAGCATATATACACAGATATTCATATTTTCTTAGATCCATTATTAACAAAATTTTATTCTATCACCAGAAAAAACAATAGAATGAGTTATGAAAAAGTAAGTGTTGAACTTCTGCCAAAAAATAACAATTAGCAGAAACCATCAGTAAGTAGTAAATAAGAAATGCCAAAGCATCATCTCTTATCTCTGCCAGTCGCTATTGGGTGGGTTGGCATTTCTCTGGACTGTCACTGACTGGGTGGGTGGTGATTTTAACTAGGAAGTTTATTACCTTGCTTATAATGTTCCATATATAATAGGAAGGACTTGGGGGCTGTTGGCAAGCTGCTCCAAGTCTGGAGGAGACTTGAACAGTCTCCATAAAGACTTATCAACAAAAGAGTGTAGGAAGGAGTCAGGACAGCACAAATGACCAAAGAACTGTCACTCTCGGTTATTCCAGAGGAAAATACTTGGATTCAAATTGCAAGGACATGGATTTCAGTTGGCTTAATGGGATGACTTTTTAAACAATTTAAGAATCGTGAAAATAGCATTCATTGATAACAGTGGAGTGTGTTAGTTGCCGCCTTGATCACTGAGAGATTATGGAAATATTTCTACATTTGGAGGGGAATTGGACTGGACTGCTATAAATGTTTCTCCAAACTAGGTTATATGGCCACTTAGTTTCTACTATGTTGAAAAGTTCGGAAAAGTCTATTAGAGTGTTTATCACCTGAAACTCAAAACACCCAGCTCCTGCCACTTGGGTTTTATAGGTGAGGAATTTCACAGGGATGAGAGGCACGGGGTGGAATCTCTCCACTGTGTGAGTCAAACACACCTTTTAATACACATGTGCACAGGCTCTGGTCTTACCTGTATAGCTACATCAAACAAGCATGTACTAAGAAAAGTAAAAAAAAAAACAAAAACTTCCCAACTTCCCACTACATGCCTCTGCACTTTATAATGTTCATAACCAGAATGCTGAGGAAAGAAAGTGAAATGTGTTTCTTGCTTCAATTATTTCAGAATACTTTTGCATCTGAAATATATGGATAACATTTGCCGTCAT